TCCTTTTCTCATATCCTGTATTTGATGCTGGTCTAGCTCCGTCCCGTGGCCCACATATAGCTGCTTCACTACGCCACAAAGTCTCAGTTTACATGTATGCAATGTGGGCCTTCAGGATGGGTATAGGGAATCCAGTGGAGGCTGCTGCACATAAAACCCCAGAACCCAGGTCAGGACTGTAACATTGAGGAAGGTTCAATATGGCTTCCAGAGCAACCAAGCCAGGATTGGGAATCTATCCACTCAAATTTTTAATTATAATATTGATGATGGTGATCATAATGAAATTGTAATGGGGGTGAAGATGGTGATGATAGTGATGGTGATGACAGTGATGAATGATTGATGAAATGTTGGTGATAGCGATGGTTTTGATAGTGATGATGATAGTAGTTATGATATTGGCAATAATGATGGTGATGGTGGGAGTGATGATGGTGGTGAGTGCTGGTACACCTTCTGGGTATACACCTCACCCGAGCAACTCTGCAAATGCTGACTAAGTGAATACAGATAACTCCAGGCTTGCAGGGCGGCTTAATCACTATCCTCTTCTTTGTAGTTAGAAAAAACAACTATATGATTTGTCCTAGGTCCCACAGCTAAAGAAGCAGAAGTGAGGGGTCTGGAGAGATGACTTGGTAGGTGAATGCACTGGCTGCTCCTGAAGAGGACCCAGGTTTGATTCCTAGCACCTACATGGCAGTTCTCAACATCTGTAGCTCCAGTTCCAGGGGATCTGGCACTGGACCTCTTCTGACCCTTGCAGGCACCAGACGTGCACATGGTGCACATATACACATACAGGCACATATACACATACACCCATTCACATAAAAAGAAAGTGAATGATTCTTTAAGGAAGAAAAAGAAAAAGATAAAGATAAAGCAGGAGTACAAAGCTGGCCTACAATACATTTATTTTTAATTTTATATGCATCAGTGTTTTGCCTGTATGTATGTCTGTGTGAGAGTGTTGGATCTCCTGGAACTGTAGTTACAGACAGTTGTGAGCTGGCTGGTGAGAACTGGGAACTGAACCCAGGCCCTCTGGAAGAGCAGTCAGTGCTCTTAACTGCTGAGTCATCTCTTCAGTCCCCAGGATACTTCCAAAGAGTCAGAAGAGGTCCAGTGAGATGGCTCAGTAGATGATGGCACCTGCTTCCAAGACTGATGTCCTGAGTTAGATCTCTAGTCCCACATGGTAGAAGAGAATCGACTTCCTCAAATCATCCTCGAACCTTCACACGCACACCGAGTCACACGTGCACCTGCATGTATACACATGCCCACAAATAAATAAATAAAATGCAATAAATATGAATAAAATGGCAGTGGGTAGTGGTGGTGCATGCCTTTAATCCCGGCACTTGGGAGGCAGAGGCAGGAAGATCTCTGTAAGTTTGAGGCAGCCTGGTCTGCAGAGCAAGTTCCGGACAGCCTGGGTTACACAGAGAAATTCTGTCTCAAAAACAAAAAACAAACAAACAACAAAAAGAATAAAATAGCATTCTCCTTACAAACAAATAAAAAGTAACAGCGAATACAAAGCCAGCCCACAATCCATACATGGTATTAGCAGTCAAGAGCATAGGAAACTTGGGGTATAGCGGGCCAGAGCAGCTGTTCTTGGGGAAGATACCCAGGGTCATTCAGGGGCCCTGACAAGACTGCCTTGCAGAAGCAGTTTCAACTCTGAGGCCTAAGATTCTGCAGGAAGGCACTGTATCTTGAGTTTGGGGTCCTCCTGTTCCTCTTTCTTCTCATTTGGCCTCTGACCTTTTCCCACCCTAGAGATCTTACAAGAGATTCTATCAACAAATGACTGCAGACTGGGTGAAGAGGCCCAGCCGGCTGTGTAGGTTTGCCCTTGTTCCAGAATGGCTCTTGGCTGCCCCCCAGTGGCTACTAGGGGCAGTAGAGGGGGATGCGAGGTGACCTTTCAGGATGACGCCTTCTATGCAGATCCCTGGAGGTTTGAGGACAGAGAAACTTACTGTGGCTCCTTCAGTGGAGGCTCTCACCCCTTTATTTTGTGCTGCAAATTTACTTACAGGAGGGTTCATCTAGATCTCATGGACCCTGAAGATGGGATTACAGTACCAGTGCTGGGGTGCTAGGAGGTGCAGACAGATGGATCCCTGGGACTCATTGGCTGAATCAGCTGAGATCCAGACTGAGAGACTGTCTCAAAATACAAGGTGGATAGTACCCAAGGCACAACACATGGAGCTTAGCCCTGGATTGCAGGTCTGTGTTGCTACACCTGGACTCCAGGTACTGAACCCAGATCCTCATGCTTGTGCAGAAAGCATTGTGTTGACTGAGCCTTCTCTCCCCAGCACTGCTCCCACCCTGCCTATCTGTCTGTCCGTCCGTCTGTCTGTCTGTCTGTCTATCTATATATATATATCATCTATCTATCTATCTATCTATCTATCTATCTATCTATCTATCTATCTCAGATAGGGTTTCACTATGTAGGCCTCTCTGGCCTACTGGAACTCACTGTAAACCAGGCTGGCCTTGAACTCACAGAGATCCACCTGCCTTTGCCTCCTAAGTGCTGGGATTAAAGGCCTGTGCCACTGTGCCCTCTGATGCCATTTTTGTTTTGTTTTGGAGATCATCCGTTGACATCTTACAAAAGACCAAGTCTTAGTCAAAAAGATCAGAGCCCTTGTCCTCACTGGATACTTCAGAGTACTCTGTTTACTTTCTCCTCAGCCAGGTTGGGGCAACATTTACAGTGGTTGCTTTAATGAGAACACTGGTCTTGAGTCAACTCACTGTCATGTTGGCTAAGTGCTGAGATCCACAGACGTAGCCCAGTAAGGGCGGATGCTGGCCTGTTGTCTGCTGGGCAAGGTACTAGAGGCAGTGAGAGCTGTAGCCCAAACATGGGCCTCAGCTTTCTCAGAAGGACCAAGCGTCATAATACTAGCTGAGGAAGCTTATTTATTAGTTTAATTACTCTTTTCTTTCCTACTAAAAGTTTGAGGCTTTCTACTAATTTTTATTTTAGATTTTTGAGACAAAGTAGATCAAACTCTTGACACTCCTACCCAGCACCTTCTAAGTGCTGATACAGGCATGCATGACGTTCCCCCTCTCCGGAAGGTTTTGAGCAGATGGAATACAGTCTATGAAAACTCCTATCACAACCTTGTCTGCTAATTCTAAAATCTATGTCGGTTCTGGATCAGTTTCCATGGCTGCTCTTTCTCTCGTTAGTGGTCATATTCCCTTGCTGTTCAATCTGGCAGTCCTTGAGTGGATTCCAGAAAACCTGATTTTCCCTTTGTTGTGGACTTCATGCAGCCGTCATGTTCCATTTTTGGGAGGATGCAGTGGAGTTAGGTGGCAATACTTTGATGCTTGCAGGTCCTGTTTTTATGATGTTAAGCGAACCTAGACATTGTTTAGGGCAGTTATCAGAGGCTAGACCTTTCTGAACACTACCCAGGGATATGTGCATCAAGCTTTTCCACCTGTTTCCTGTCCCTGCCCTTTTTAGGACTGCTGAATTTGCTGAGTAGGGCTACTGAAGATTTCTGGGGTTCCCCCTTGGCCACACTCTCCTGACTAGCTCTCTGGCTGCTCCATCTCTGGCCACTAAGGAGGCCTTCAGGGTTCAACTCAACATACACAGATGCAGCCAGACCAGCTGCAGATCTCAAAGCTACAACATAAACACATGCATCATGGCCTTCCAAGGGGCTTTGGTGTTCTCACTTCTGAGGCACACTAAGGACCTAGTGGAAATCCCAGACTCAATGCTCTGACATGACTACTTGCTTTCCAGGTGTGAGGAGGAAAGTGCAGCTTCGGTTTCACCAGACCCCATGAGAGTCCCGGGAAGGTGATCTCCATGTAGGGTGCATATGGCAGGGAGGGCTCTCCCTAAGATCATTTAACTGGGTGTATACGCCTGAGGCTCCAGTCCCAGAGACATCAGGAGCACAGTTCTAGAGATAAGTGAGACAAGTGAATCCCCATATGAAGAAATGCAGTCGTAGGAAGTCGTCAACAGTGTAGACTGGGCGAGTCTTGGGTCCAGGCTGGTTAGTAGCCTCTTCAACGTGGGGGGCCGACTGCGCATTATGGCCAATGCCCGGGACTTTTCTTTCTTTTTTTTTTTTTTAAATATACAGCATATATGACTGCAGGCCAGAAGAGGGCACCAGATCTCATTACAGATGGTTGTGAGCCACCATGTGGTTGCTGGGAATTGAACTCAGGACCTCTGGAAGAGCAGTCAGTGCTCTTAACCTCTGAGCCATCTCTCCAGCCCCTTTCTTCTTTTTAAAAGATTTATTTATTTATAATTACGTGTACAGTGTACTAAGATTAAAAGGCGTGCACCCTCTGGCCACTCACAATCCTAGGACCGATCATGTGGCGGCCAGAGCAGGAGTAGGGCAGGGCCTGGGGAGAGCCGGAGCCTGGGCACCGGAGCACGCACTTAGTTCGCAGGTGGGGAGGAGGTCCTTGAAGAGAAAGAATGTGCAGCGTAAAGCCTATGGTAACGCTCATTTGACCCGACCTCAAGGATTGGGCTTCCCGTCCCGACGCCACCTTGGCCTCAGTGGTTTCGACTGAGACGCTGCAGCTGGATTCCCAGCACAGCGGACACCGGTCCCTGCCTCCCTCCGCCAGGCGCGGCCATTCCTCTGAAACTCCGGCGGCGGCTACCCGGGAGCGGATTTCCAGGCGCAGGTCTGGGGCGTCGGCGTTCCGGCAGGGCGACCCGGCGCGAATACAGGCCGCGCCCCGCAACCCAACTCCAGGCAGATGGAGAACAGCGGGACGGAGGGGCGGGGCTCAGGAGGGAGGCGGGGCTCAGGAGGGAGGCGGGGCTCAGGAGGGAGGCGGGTGCCGCGGTGGGGGCGGAGCCAGAGGGAGACGCCCGCCTAGGTTGGGGTGGAGCCAGGCCCCCGGGTCCCAGCTCTGTGAGGAAGAGCCCGGGCTTCCTTGTACCAGAAGCGGAAGAAAGGACACACAAACTGGCCTATGGAACGGTGGATAAGAGCAGCGTGACCCGGAAGCATTCACCGACGAACCGCCCCTCCCGCCCAATTGCGCTGCCTGGGACGAGCCACTTCCTTTCTGCGCTCCCGCTGGCCTAGTGAGCAGGTAGGCCACGCGGCGGGCGGTTTGCGCGGGTCGGGTCGGGGTGGGCCGGGTGGCCCGGGCGCTCGGGAATGGGTCCGGCCGGGGCCGCAGTCTCGAGTGCGGGCCTGGCCGACCTCATGGCTCGCGCGGTGACTCCGCAGGCACGGCCTGGACATGCAGAACGACGCCGGCGAGTTCGTGGACCTGTACGTGCCGCGGAAATGGTAAGCATCTGAGGTCCTTGCCCGTCCGTCAGCGCGGCCCCGCCACGCCTACGCTCCTCACCCCTTTTCACCCACTTCCTCCGTTTCGCGGCCCACCGCACGCTCTGTTTCCTTCCCTCAGCTCCGCGAGCAACCGCATTATTGGTGCCAAGGACCACGCATCCATCCAGATGAACGTGGCCGAGGTGAGCTGGGAACCCGATGGTGGGGCTTGTTCCCGGGGGAAAGGAAGGAGGCAGCTAGGCCTTTCCGTGCCTGGCTTCCCAAGCATTGGTGGTTCCCTAATGAGTAGGCTAAACCTAGAGCGCGGGGTCGGGTCGAATCTGCTAACTCCTTTTCTCTATACAGGTTGACAGGGTCACAGGCCGGTTTAATGGCCAGTTTAAAATCTATGCTATCTGTGGGGCCATTCGAAGGATGGTGAGTTTGTTTTACCACGTGGGCCTTTGTCTTGTAGTACTGTTGACATTTGAGCTGTGATGGTGGGTGTCCCTTCCTCTGGAATAAATGGTTGGCGGGACAGGTTTGCTCTTGCCTGCTTAGGCCTCGCCACCACGGAGTGCCTGCTCTAGGAAGATTTAGGTGGTTGGTTCTTCCTTTATGTAAAGCTCATTCTATCTCTCCTGGGTGTGAGTACAATCTTGGGTCTGATAATACACGCTCTGTTCTGCCAAGCCAGGAGCGCTATGAGATATTCAGGGATTCATTTTTAATTTTAAGGGTGAATCAGATGACTCTATTCTCCGATTGGCTAAGGCTGATGGAATTGTCTCAAAGTAAGTGGAGGTGGGGGATATCACATTGGGGTTGAGTGGCCTGGGATTTCCCAAGAGATACGGCTTTTAATATTATTTTTTTTCCTTTGTTAGGAACTTTTGACCAGAAGAGATCGGGGAATATTTGCTATAAATAAAAGTGAGAAAGTACCTTTGTCAGTTGAGTCTGCTTTTAGCACGTGGGCAGGGCTGGTGTTTTTTACAGTGACCTGAACAGGGGCAGCACACTCAAATCTGAAAGGAAATAAACTAGAGAGTATGTTGCAAAACCAAGTTTTACTTAACAAAAACATTTTTACACCATCCATTCAAAACCTACCCAACACACGACATTCTGAGGTCAGATACTCTCACAAACACTTGTGCCTACTGTTGGGTGCTAAGGGCGCAGCACCAGGTCTATGGCATTGGGTCGCAGTCCAGCTGGACACCACGGATATAGCTCGGGTTTCTGGACGCAGTCGCCAGGATCATTTGGTTTAAGGGTTGGTTTTGTTGCAGCAGTGCTTTACACCACACAGCAGCAGCTCTCGGCATCACTGAAGAGGACAGGGAGGGGAGGACTTCCAGCAGACCAGCTTGGTAAATAATAAACCTTATAAACTACATAAATATACAAGCTTAAGTTACTGCTGTTCACCAGCTTTAACATTAACTATACATCTAGAGGAAGCTGCCTGGGTATGTCCTCCAAGGGTAGCTTGTAAGTTGGAGCAGTGTCTAGGAAGTTAAATGATGGGACTACCTTGAAGATGACTTTTGCAGGGCCATTGTCTTGCACCCAAGATGCTCTAGGGGTATGGGTTTGCTTATACCAGCATAAGCATGGTCAGAATAAAACACTGGTTTGTCACTGAGCAAGGTTCCTTCATGCTCAAGCTGTTACTGATTCTCTGGTCCCGGGTGGTTGGATGGTGTCAGGCCTGAGAGGCATTAGCATTGCTGGGGATGTGCTGAGGCTGTGAAGCTGAGCAGTTGCTAGCAGTAGGTCTGGTATCTACTATGGGAGCCTAGGCTGGTGACCAGGATCACCAGGTTACGGGGAAGGCCAACAGTCCTAAAGAAAGCAAAGGGACAATGGCACAGTGGGTGTACAGGCAAGTTGACCTAGATGGCATGTCCGTTGCTGTTAGAGGTGGCAGGGCCAGTGTCTTCCTGCCTGAAGGTCAAGTGTGGTTTCAGAGTTACACCAGCAAACCTTAACAGGACCAAATCCCAAATTATAATACTTTTTCTGCACCACAATATTGCTTAGGAAAGTTAAGAGCCTCAAGTCAGCAGTTCTCTTAAAGGTCCAGTGCTGCAGGCAAAAGTTTCTGGCAAGAGGCCTGGGTGGTTTTGGCCAAGCCCTGCTGTATATGTGATGGCATAGGGGTTTCACAGTGACAGATGCTTTGACAAATGTCCAAAAAAATAAAATTAGAATGGGTCAAGGTGCCTGCCTTCCCCTCTACCTTGACAGCAAAGGAGGCAGGGTATCAGGAGATGGCGTAAGTGTGGCTGGCAATATCAGCATGTTCAGGTCTGGACACCTAGGTCTCCACAGGAATGGTCTCACATCTGTGATAGGTTGCAAAGGCTGGACCTCAGGATTCACCACAATGTAAACCAGACTGGTCTCAGGCACATGAAAAACCAAGCAAGCCTCACTGTTCATTTACTCCAGGAAAATTCTCAGAAGCATCTTGAGGTGTGTTGTGCTTCTGAATGAAAGCGGTGTCTCTTTCCAAGGAAACGAAAAGTCACCTTGGGCTGTGAGGGGCAAATGCAGTATTGGAGGAGGGATGGGACACTAGTTGCCTCTGTTCTAGCAAGCTACATGCCTTTCTACCAAGCAGCCTCTGCAGGGTGCACTGTCAGGGCTAGAACTGCTGGGTGAGGCGTCTGTAGTGAGGTAACACTTGGTTCTCAGGGAGGTACAGGGCCAGTTCCAGAGCCACAAGCACCGTGAACTCAAATCCAATGAGATCTCTCCTGTTGAACCGGAATCTTTCCTCCAGCTTCTGCAGTGAAGGAAGCAAAGGGTGAGTGGGTCAGCCCACCTGGGTCCCCACCTAAGGCTCAGTGCCTGGCACGGGGTGCTCGTGCTGGGTGCACACCTCTGCACTCACGTCAATAAGCTGCTTTACTTCGCTCTTGCGGAGGTCACTGCTGATCTTGGCGGCCAGCAGAACACAGGCGCCAGCACACAGTTTGCGGTTCTGTTTGTTGAGCTTGCCCTGCAGCACAAGCTTCTCAAAGTACACGTAGGCCATGGAAACGGTCACAGGTTCCAAGCTGCACTCTTCAGACAGGTTCCGCATCTCCCGTTTTAAACTGTGGGTGGGATGGGAGCCATGTCCCTGGGGCAAATCTATGGTCACTGAGACTATGACGAAGCAGCAGCCACCCTTCCATGGCTATACCACGTGTTGTGGGCTGTCAGAAAAGACACTATGGTCTCCAAGGAGAAAGCCCAGGGTCAGGTTATGTGGCTGGGTAGGGGTATCTGCCTGGTCGTTTCTTACCTCCTAATTTTGCTCAATGTCAGTTTGATATGAGGGAACTTCTCCCTGAAGGTCTCGTTCATGTCCTTTTTGAGGTCTGCAGGCTTCACATACTCTATAACCGTGGTCTATAACAGAAGTAGAGGTAGGTGGAGCCTAGATGTCTTGAAAGTGGATGCCTTGTGGCCTGGGTTTACAGACATGAGTATGGGATTTCAGAGAGGTACCGGTATTTCTGAGGATAAAATGACTCAGCTTGTCTGCCCTCTGTAGATATATGCCCAGGCATCCAAAGCTGACCCCAGAAGACTGTCCAGCATGGCTGGCTATCTTGCTTTGGCACACTGTCCTTGTCTATGGCCCTGTCCCCCTACCTGCTGGTGTTGGATGGGGACAAGGCACCCTAGAATGGCTGTTCTGGGTTTCTGGGTGCTCACTCAGTTTATTCCTCGAACCCTAAACAATGTTAGGGCTACGGAACTCACCATGTATGAAGCAAAGATAAGTACCCGCTTGTGCTTCCCACATGGCCACTGTGGGTCATCCAGGAGGTTGGGGTTGTATTCTAGTGCATCTCCCCCATCGTTTCCTGTAAGCAGAGGCAGCTGTTGACACCTTAGATCCTGATCAGAACCCATGCCACTCCTCCCCTACCACGCCCAAGAAGAGGCGTCCGTCACCTCACAGCAAGGCTCCCAGGTCAGAGAGGGACTCCAGGTCAAGGGCCAGGGCTTGAGTACAAGAAGGGACATCTGGACAGAACCCCCTTCCCACACTGATGCTTTCTTCTGCCCGGTTCAGGCAGAGCCTAGGCCACACTATCTGGAATCCTTTTCCTCTGAGAAGCCTCAGTGCAGATGTGGCTTACACTGCTGTCTGCCCCATCCCTGTCCCTGTCCCAGCCAGTGCTGCTGCCCCCCTTGTGCCATGGCTAAGGCACCTCGACTACACTACCTAGTTCTGTGCCAGCCGGTGTTGACTTGGTAGGCACAGGTTTGTGTCTTGAACCTGGTGGAGCCCGGGGGATGCTGGGCCGAGGCTGGGGCAGCAAGCCATGGTTGTCATTCTTGTGTGTAACCAGGGCATTAGTAGGGTACAGGAACTTTGCATAAGACACGACCTGGAAAAGCAATCACATTGGAGCTCAGTCCTGCTTCCTCAGGCCAGAAAGTGCAACCAAGTTCTGCTTCCCTCCACCCTCCAGCAGGGAGCCTGAGGGCCACACTGCTACCCACTTGAGAGGGGCTCTTATGTCAGAATGTCAGCTTCCATCCCTGACCAGAGGTCTGCAGTGTGCAAGTCTCCCCTTTCTGGAAGACCCCTGGCCTTGGCCCACTGTGACAGAAGCATGGCTAGGTGTGGGGTCCCAGGGGGTCACCTACAGCTGGCAGTGGCCATGTATGGTGGACTCTTAGGTTCTTTGGCCTGTTCCCAATACTGTGTCTTAGATTAATGTGTGAGGCACCTGTCTGCCTAATTCTGCTGGCCATTGGCTGGCCACAGTGCTCTTGCCTTTCCATCTGCTCCCAGTTCAACGCCTTCCAACTCAAAGACCATCTCAGAAGAAACAGAAACGCCGCCGGATGGGTGCCTCTGCTTCTGGCTGTCCACCCTCAGGTCACTGTAATGACAGGAGAGGGGAAGAGCTGTAGTCCCTCTTCCTGCAGTCAGTGGGTGGATGCTTGACCCACAGTGAATCCAGGTGGCAGCCTCGTCTGCTCATCCACCCACACTGAAGAGCTCCTAGCACAGGAGGAGAAGTAGATGGGCATGACCTTGGAGGTGCATGACAGGTTTAAGCGGAAGGCAGTCTATATCTCACTCTTGCTCCAAGCAGATGTCATCAGTCAAAGCATTAGGGAGCCACCACTCTGGAACATCCCTGAACACTCACCTGTTCTTGGGCTCAGATCTGCTTCCCTGGGTGCTTCTAACCCTTCATATGTGGTCACACTCAGTAGCTGGCCTGGGATCCTGAGAACTGGCTACCTCCCACTCTAGACAGGAGGTTTCTCTGTGCCTACTATTGTTCTGTGAGGTCACCACAACACTACCCCGCCCCAACAGCTGTTTCCTTCTTCCCTGAATTACCTTCAGGACACAATTGCCTGGGTTGGCCCTAAAGTTTTAGGAGCGTATCTGAGGGAGGGGCAGAATATCTCAGTCAACCCATATATAGTTTCACCAGAACCTATGGCCCCTAGGGAATAAAAACCTGAAATGCAAGTTCCTAGGCTGTGGTGGAAGATGGTGTCCTGACACCCCATGAGTCTAAGGACCCAGCGAACACTCAGTGATGGGCTACACTGATACCCTGTGGGCTGGGCTCAGCAGGACCAGGGCTTATCAGTGTACACAGCACGGGATCTTACCTGATCCGTAGGCCCTCTCCATAGGGCAGGACTGAGAAGGCTGCACACAGGGACCGCTTGGCACAGATGAGCACAATCCTGTGGGAGGCCCAGGTCAGAGCAGGGCAGTAATTCTGTTCTGCCTACATCTGGGTGATGGGAAACTGCCAGAGCCATTGAGGGGACTTGGATTCAGGAAGTCAGGCATGGCATCTTAGCACTTGGGCCTGATTCCCTAGAGTTGCTTAGTAAGTAAGCAACTCCCTGTTCCATGAGGAGCACAACAGTGCTCCCCTGGCCCTGTAACACACAGGGCCATAGACTTCATGTTTCCTGGAAGCACAGGTCACCCAGGAAAGGGCAGGCCTCATTTGCACAAAGATAGGGCACAGGAAGGTGAGGCCAAAGTTCATCAGCATCAAGCCTCAGTGGTCCAGACAAAGGCAAGGCCTAATGCTACTAGAGAACACCCAGATCTAATACAAAGTTCAGTATCCAGGGGCTTAGGACCCAAGGCCTTGGGTCCTCAAAGCTGTAATCATAGCCTACCCTTACAGTCTTAGTGCTCAGGCCCTGCAGGGAGCAACATTCCCTGGAGACACCAGGGTGACCTACATAGGGAAGAGGGGGGGGACTCTGGGAATCCAAAGTGGTTCCCAGAGTGGGTCCGAGTGACTGGTAGTGTGGTGCCAAGGGACATACCCAAGGCACTGCCCCTGCACCAGTGCAGGACATGCAGCTGCCCAGAGCCCAGCCTAGCACTGTTTAGGGAACCAAATACCAGTTTGAGTTCAGCCTCCCCCAAGTTCCCTGATATACCATACCTCCTTCTGTGTGTGTGCCCAGTGTGACTGCTTCCCTCTATGGGCTCCCAAGGTTAACCACGTCTTATCCTGTGTATGCCCCCTCCCCCCCATATGAGCACACCTTTTGTCCTGGGCACGTCTGGGGGGGCATTTCTGCCTTCCTACTTCTCTTTCCCAAAGACCGGAGTCTATCTAGCTGGTGGCTCTTCTCTGGGATTGTACAGGGCTGGCTTGCTGGCTTGGCCATGTTAGCCAGGGTCCAGCTAATGTAGAGGAACATGAGCACCCAATTCTAAAGGGTCAGGAGACAGGCCATGGGTGATGAAGCAGGAGCCCTGGAGCTGAAGATGCTGCTGCTAACAAGGGGCAGGGTCCAGACCTCACATGGCCTTCAGAGACACAGCCTGGGCCCGCAGTGTGGGGAGCCCAGTGGACAGTTCAGGGCCAGGCCCCGCATGCTCTTACCTGCTGTTCTTCGTGTCATACTGCCTCATGTTCTTAATGAAGTGGGTTTTCTTCAGGCCTTTGTGTCTTGGTGATCCAGATGCATGCTTGGTTCTGTAAGGTAAAAAGCAGGTTGTTCTTGCCTTCCTTGTGGCCCCAGGGGTCAGAGGCAGTTGGGACTCAGGACCTTGGAGTAGGGGCAGGTAGGGTGTATACCTCTGCACTGAGGCACATCCCACTGCATCTTCCAGAAATTCGAGGGAGCAGCGCTGAGATGTGACTCGTCTCCTGTAGGGAAGACATCATGACCTCAGAAGAGCCAGGACCACAGACTCTAGGAAGCCTTTGCAGCCAGGGTCCCTCAACAGAACTGAACTAGTGTGGGAATATGCAGGGCAGGGCTCTCATGAAACTGAAAGGCTTCAAGAACCTGTGAACCAAGACTGCAGTGCAGAGGGAATCCTGTTCCCTGCCACAAGGTTGCCAACCTTCCCTAGGTGGGAGCATCTGGTACACAGCGGTTCCAACAGGCTACATGTCTCAGAGGGTCTGCTTGTACCAGTTTGGGGCTGTGGCCCATGCCAGGAGCACAGTGTAAGCACCTGTATAGGCCGCTACTGCTATTCAAGTCACACACACACACACACACACACACACACACACACACACACACACACCCTTCCCTCCCGGGAACTGCTCTGGGGTCTAGAACATTCTTTTCCAAATCTGCAAGTAAGAATTCCCTCCTGGATTTTGGGTTCTAGCTCTGTGTTACCCGTCAGGAAGGCCTGTTGGTGACAGTCACTAATGGAAGGTAATATCTCTGCCTTGGGAGCACTGATTCCTATGGGTCAGGCTGGCTCCTGTGTCCCCCATGCTTGTACCCAGTAGGGCAGGACATGGGAGGCAGTTTCCCATCACTGTGAGCCACAACAGGGCTTCTTCAGGCTGAGAACTGAGACCCCACAGACCCACACCTTCACACCGAGACAACAAACTCAGGCACGTAGTCCAGGGTCTAACAACTGCGGTCATTTACTGACCTTCTGGTCCTTACAGGACACAGTGAGTCAAAGTCACAGCAAAGCTACAGGGTAGGCTTCTGGAGACCAAGGTCACAGTGTGGGAAGGCAAGACACGGTCTGTGGTTCTGAGGTTGAAGCCTGCTCTGAGCCTCTGCCATTGGGGAGTCTGTGCCAGCATCCCTGAGAGGACAGAGGCATAAGGAACCTCAGGCTGAGGCTGCGCCAAACACCATGGCTCCCTGCCACAGCCTTTGAGAATGAGGGGCCTGTATCCAGACCCAAGGGGGCTGTAGCTTTCCATCTCTCTTCTCCTATTATTAGACAAGTGGTACATGTTCATAAAGGAAAAATAAGGAATAGCTAGGCATGATAGTATGGAGGATGTTGAATTTGAGGCCAACGTGGGCTATAAGAGACCTTATCTCTTTTTGTTTTGTTATTATTTATTTAATTTTAAAGACAGGGCTTCATGTGGCCCAGACTGGCCACAAACTCAATAGGTAGCTAGGAATGACCTTGAGCTCCTAATCTCCCAGCCTCCACTGCTGCCTGTTGTGATTACAGAGAAAAGCAACTCCTTCAAAAGCAACTCACCTCAACACCATAACTTCTGTCAGACACCAGGACTACTGTCTGGGCATGGATCACTGTGACAGAGTCACAGAGATACCATGATTCAGTCACTTCTTGCCACAGCATCTGTGGGTCTCTCTCTATCTCTCTGTCTCTCTGTCTGTCTGTCTCTGTCTCTCTGTGTTTATGTATGTGTACATGTGTGTGGTGTGTGAGTACATGCATGTGGTATTGAGGATCTTGAGTCTCATACATGGTAGGCAAGTTGCTCTATCACTGAGCTAGACTCTAGTCACACCTGTCCAATGTCCCTGGCCCATCTTGTCACTGTGGTGCAGGATGCCTGGGCCATTAAGGATTAGTGATACGTGTCAAATACCCTGGTTCATCCTCACTCCAAGAGAGTCTTGGACATAGAAATCTGGCCAAGGAATTCACCAGGACACATAGTCTGAAGCTTCCCAAACAGAAGCTGAGGCTACACACATGAGCCACCCTCCTCCTGCTTGGACCTCAGCAACTGTCCAGGCATTTTCAAACAAAAAGAGTCGAGCCAAGTGCCTGTGGGATGATTGCATGGTGGGCAGACCCCCTTAGACCCGGCACTGCTGACTTAATAGTAAGCTCCTGGGCAAGCTCAAAGCAGCCAAATGGCTCTCCAGGACACACGGCTACCAAGGCACAGACGGTAATGCCTTTCTCTCTTCCTGTAGCAGGAGCCACAGGTGTACATGCTCTGAACCCAAAATATTCTAGAAGTGCAGCCGACGATGATGTCAAGCACTGACTGTCACACAGCACTGTTGGGACACCACCCACTCAACAATGACGATGGAGAAGGTATTGCAGGAGACGGTGGATGGTGGCGGCAGAGATGTTGACGGTGTAGTTACCTACTTGGGATGGCAGTGGCACTGTGGACAGTGTCGATGGTGATGGCAGCTGAAGTGCCTCGGTTGTACTGACTGCTGCTGTGCATACACTATGCTTGGTGTTCTTGTGCCTCACTTTGTTCCAAGTCCCCTCACCTGATGGGCACTAGGTGGCTACTTCATAGTTAAAAAGCTTCCAGTGGTGTTGGAGGCCAGCAGCCAAAGGCATATCAAAGACACAGAGATGAGGTGAGCCTGACATCCAAGGCCATCTGGGAACCGGGAGAGGAAAGCCCCAGGCTGGCACTGAGCCAGAGGCCCCAGGCAGGAATGCCAACAAGTGACTCAAGATCAGAACCTCTCGACAGCTTCCTTCAGGGCTCTGTGGCTGGCTGGACACAGAAGGGTTCCCAGATGGGGAAATGTAGTCCTCAGTGCAGTATTCCCAGTCACAGCCGTGGGGCCTATGGCTGTGAGGCTGCCTGTCTGTCCTTCCAGAGCTACGGTTGGGGGGCTTTTTCACAACACTGGTGGTTTCGCTGACTTGTGAGTGTGTGTACAATTAAGCCCAAGTTCCCTGATCAAGTGAGTCCTCTAGCTGGGTTTGGAAATCCAGCCATGAGCCTCTAATGTGCCAAAGGTCCAAGTACTCTGGTCAGTCAAACGGTTCAAGGTACCTGTAGCTTAGAAATGCCTATCCTTGAGGACAAGAAAAACCTGCATATCAGACATGGGGATGTGGAAAGGAAGGGTCATATGGGGAAGCTACGACTACCAAACAGGCTGAGCTTCAGCTTGCTACTAGAAACTTCTAAAAGAGCTCCTGGGTCTTTAGTGTTGGCACCTGCAGATCCGAGCATGCCCAACAGCCCCTCTTACTGGGATGCTAGTGGAATTACGTCCCCTCCAAATCTGTATGTTAACCTGGGACCTCAAAACAAGACTGAGCTTGGAGATATAGTCTTTAAAGAGATGAACAGAGGTGGCCCTTAATCCAGTGTGACTGGTGTCCTCAGGATTAAGGCACAGACACACAGAGGGAGGGCAAAGTCTATGAGGCCAAGGGTGAGGCCTTAAAGGGAACCTGCCACACCTTCTTTGACTTCTAGCTTCCAGAATGTGAGAAATAAAGTCTGTTGTTTAAAGAAACCCTGTCTTGAAAAACAAAAACAAAAAGTCCTGTTTGGGGCTGAAGAGATGGCCCAGTGGTTAAGAACCCTGGTTGCTCTTTCAGAAGACCCAGATTCAATATCGCCTGTAACTCCAGTTCTAAGGGATCCAACACTCTATTCCGACCTCTGTGGGTACTAGGCACACACACGGGACATAGAGACATGCAGGTAAACACCCATACACGTAATTTATCAGTCTATTGTCTGCAAGGGCTTTGGAATGGCTCTGGACTTCATCTGTGCAAGAAGATGCTCCCTGGTGCTCTGCAGGACCACCGTGTGCTGGCTGCATGCAGGCCCTTGGATTATGCCGCATATTTTGGCAGCAGCCATTAACTAAGCATGAACAGTGGGGAGCTGCATCTGGTGGACGCCAGGCCCATACTGCCCCTGCAGCATCATTAACTGAGGTCCCCTTCCAGCAGGAGAGTTGGTTCACAGAGGTGTGGCATGGTCAGATACCTGCTCAACAGGTAGGGCCATGCGGCTCCCCAAACATGCCCTTGCCTGTGCTTGTCACAGAAGCAGGAGATACAGCCACCACCTCACACCAACACTTCAGAGGCTGTGACACTCACACTCAAGTGGTGGCATAGAGAGGTCAGTCTGTCCAAAGTCACACAATAGTGCAATTCTGTCCAGGTCCTGATAGGCTCCAAGATTGTCACAGTGATCCAAGTCCATGGTTCTCCTGTCTTACTTACATAGTTACTTACATCTATTAAATGACAAAAGCCACAGGAGCTTGCAGAAAACCAACCAAAACGGAAAAGAGAAGTGAACTGACTAAAGACACCTCCAGAGGACCCTGCAGCTACCAGCTGGGCCTGTGGTAGAAACAAGACACCAGCCCAGGGAGGCTCTGGAGGAGGGAGAACAGGTGAGTGCAGGCACCTTGTCTAGAAGCATGGACAGAGGGAAAGGCTAGGGGCCTGGGACAGGAGGGATTAGGACCAGTCAGAATGGCAAGCTCAGACAACCTTACTGCTAGGAAGGTGCCACATGAGTGCGTACAGTGTGCTGGGTGTTTAGGGGACAGAATCTGCCCAGAGAGGATTAGCCAAATGCTGAATGCACAGGTCTGGAGCAGGGAAAGGCAGCTAGCCTGAGGTGGAACAGAATGTGGAACCTGAGGGAAGAGTCTGGGACCTGAAGGAAGAGTCTGTGTTCTGAGGCCCTTAGGGCCACCTGTCTGGCGTGGCATTCCCTGAGGTAATTATCCAGGCAAGGCCAGGTGGCTGATCATGGCCCTGGGATCTCATTTGCAAGTCCACAGAGGCAGTGTGGAGAGCTGTGTCAGATCTGTCCTCAGCTGCCGGCTTGCTCTTCTTGCCACTTTCCAGGCTCTCTAGGAATGGTGTGCTCCCTCAGGAGCTTGTGAAATGTTCCCAGTTGGTCCAACATCTTGTTCCCTGTGGCTTCTACCTCCCTCATAAGCAGGTTATTTGTAAACCCAATCCTCAGAACTGTACCAGGGAGGCACTACTCTTATTCAGTTTCAGGTAGGGAAACTGAGATACAGAGCCATTCAACTTGTCTGAAATCCAACAGCTGGCAGGAGAGGAGTAGAGGCCTGTGTCCACAGCTTAGCTACTCTGAGGACAGGCCAGGTTCTCCTAGTGCAGACCCTGTGCTCAAGAAACAAGACAGGATCACACTTCACAGTGTGCCCTGAACTGACCCTACTGGGAGTAAGGGTTGTGCTGGGCCGGGCGGTGGTGGCACACACCTTTAATCCCAGCACTCGGGAGGCAGAGCCAGGCAGATCTCTGTGAGTTCGAGGCCAGCAAGATCCAGGAAGGGTGCAAAGCTACACAGAGAAACCCTGTCTCAAAAAAAGAGTTGTGCTGGTTAGCAGAAAGGCAGACATGTGGGATGTCTGTGTATATGATGCTCAGATATGACAGTCTATGTGACAAAAGGTGTCTTGGTCAGGAGATGGCTGAGGAGGGTGTGAGGAAACCTAGGAGCTGGTCTATGGAGTAAATGGTGGCCACGCATGGCGTATGTCAACAAACATACATGGGGGGGCCTCACACTCAGCTTCCATGTACTGTTTGCATGTACCTTGGCACCTCAACTTGAAAACAGCTAAAAGCAGATAAACAAACAAAAACACTAAAGAACAATTTGGACTTTCTGTTGCCTCAGCTAACACTCCCCAGACAACTAGAAAAGTCCAAGTTGTGGCAGACCTGGACTCTGCATCTCAAGTTGCCTATTTATACAGGACAGTGTCTACAGTGTCTACCCTAGCTCCATGTGCTCTCTCCATGTGACTGGGAAGAAGAGGCCAGGGGTCAGGAGTTAAGAGGGCTTACCCATTTATTGGTTCTGCTGACCTAACTCAGCTCAGAACTACTCCTTAGCAACCTTGCTGCCAAGGGAGTCCACCCCTGCTCTTCAGTCAGCACCTGAAACCCGACTACAGACCTTAAAACCTGCTTCTGTATGTGACAGGTTTCCTTATTTGGTGATTTGAGAGATGGGGAGAGGTCTAGGTAGGGCCACCTCCCTGTGGCTGAGATTCTGTCCCTATTAGGGATCCAAGGAGAGTGAATGGTCTCTGCAGGCTTGGGGCAGACTCAGGAGCCACCCGCCACATGACAGGCTGCAGAGGAGCCCCAGCAATGAGCCCAAGCAGTACTTCCACTGTCATGGCCAGCATGCTCAGAGCCTGGGAGCCTCCCCTGCTAAGGAAGCACAGGTGGCAGCAGCCTATCAGGTGTTCAGGGCTGGTCCCCTGCTTGAGCATCATTTTGGCTCATTACAGACCCATATGTGCCAAAAACAAAACAAATAAGCAAAAAAAAACCCCAGTCTCCTAATGGGTCTCACTTAGTCTTAGGCAAAGCAAAGGTGACTGGTCCCAGCACTCCATGCAGGGGCCTGTGGTCTAGCAGCTTCACAGAGAAAGAGTGGAGTCTCAGGGCAGGCGCAGGCACCTGGCTGTTCTAGAAAACTGACTACTCTAGCACTTTTCAGCCCCCAGTGAGTAGATGCTGGGCACAGACTAATGTGTGCATGCTAAGTGGCTCAGTGGCTAGTTAGGGCTGTCTAGTCCCACGTCTAGATCAAACTGAAGCACAGCCTCCTGCCTCCAGGCTATGCCCAGCTCTCTGATGGTGGGTGCGTTAGGATGCAATTTGCAAAGTCATTTGCGTGTGGGGACTTTCCCTTCCCCCTCATTTCTGCGGCTGATACTATGCAGGGCTGTTGTGAGTTGAAGTAGTTCCCCAAAAAGATCCATCAAAAGCCCAGCCCTTGTCAGAGGCCTTAGCTAGAGACAGTCTAGGAAGGGATCACAGTAAAAGGGGGACAAGGAAAAGTCTATGAGGACACACATGGAGACAAGGAGATAGAACAACACAGCATGAGCCACAGGGCACCCCGAGTCCTGTAGAGGAGCCCCCAGCCCCCAGGGTACAGCCTGACCTCCAGTGATTGGCATCCAGGGCTCAGGGAAGAACATGCTGCTGTTGAGAGCTCCCAGGTTTGCATCCTTTGTCACCCTGGCTCTGGAGGTACATACATGCATGGCTTTCTAGGCAGAAGGCGGCAGTGGTGAGGTAGCTGGAATGCATGCTTCAAACCTGATCACAGATCTGGAGCTGAGCCTACACCCAGGCATGCAGCAAAACCAGATGATAAATAGTGCCAAAAGCCCCATGCAGAAAACCAGGGTGGTTCTGTCAATAGCTAGAAACACTGTTGGGAGCCCCAAGTTGTGATTAAGTTGTCACTTTACTGAATCCTTAGGATCATGTGACCTCAAGGAGAAAGAGCTTCATGCCAGCCTATTACAGAGGGGAAGAATGAGGTTCTAAGAGACCCATTAGGTGCTCAAGGTCACAGAGCTATTGGATGGAGGAAAGCTGGTCTGCATTCTTTGTGACAAAGCCTTCAGGGACTCTAATGTTTTGCTTCTTAAAAAACAGACAATCAGGCCGGGCGGTGGTGGCGCACGCCTTTAATCCCAGCACTCGGGAGGCAGAGCCAGGCGGATCTCTGTGAGTTCGAGGCCAGCCTGGTCTACCAAGTGAGCTCCAGGAAAGGCGCAAAGCTACACGGAGAAACCCTGTCTCGAAAAAACAAAAACAAAAACAAAAACAAAACAAAACAAAAAAAAAAAACAGACAATCAGGCGGAGAGATGGCGCAGCGGTTTAAGACCACTCACTGATCTTCCAGAGGACCCAGAGTCAGTTCCCAGCACCCACATGGCTGCTCACAACTGTCTGTAACTCCACTTCCAGAGGATCCAACACCCTCACAAGACAGACATGCAGGCAGAACACTAATGCATATAAAAACAAAACAAAAGAAAAACCCAACAGATCAAGGAACTAAATAAATCTGGGAGCCAGTAGCTCCCTTTAACAGGCCAGCTACTACTGTCTCTCCTAGTCACAGGTCGGGAGCTGAGAGAGGGTAGAGTCCTCTTTCTAAGGGCCTGTGATCATGACAGGAAGGATAACAATTCTAGGGCAGTGACAAGAACTTGGAAGCAGAGCCCAAGAAGAAAAGACGTCTGCCACAGGCAGTTGTAGTTGTGGGCGGTCAGGCTATCAGAATGAAGTGGAAATCAGAACTGGAAGGGCAGGAGATGGCTCACTGGAGGCGCTAGGGAGGCAGGAGTACCACAGGGTGCCTCACCCACACAAACTTCACCCTGACTTTCAGTTTTGCTCTTCACAAGGGGTCGAGCTGACACTCTGGGACAAACTGACCCCTTGGTCCCAATGGACCCTTCTATGTCCTGTAGAGAAGCATGGCCTGGCCCCTACCTGCAGGTTAAGGTGGTGACCACAGAAAGTTCAGGCCCTTCTGGCCACGCAGACATGTGATGCAGGGCCAGATGTCAGAGAACTTTTCCCCATCACAGACCTGGGAGGCACCTCATCACTGTGAGCCTCCAATTTAGCCCTGCTAGACTTGTCCAGGGCTTCCAACACCTGGGAGCTACCTGGCAGGAGTTCTGCTCTAGTAGTGGGGCCTGCCCCGAAGGGACCATAGTGGCCAGACTTGGCTCCTTCTGCCATTCTTCAGGTGAAGACTGAGAACGTAAGAGGGGGCTGAGGAGGCCGAGACCCACATGGTACCTGGTAGCTGTGGACACCGGGAAGTGGGCACAGTCGGGGGATGAGACAGTGGTTAGGAATAAGAGCTGCCCTGGGTTAGACTGAGAAGTCCCTAAAAATGATCCAGGCAGGGCAAGAAGTACAGAGTGCAATGTGACAGGTCCTGAGTCCAGCAGGTATGGGATGGCGAGGAGGAAGCTCTGGCCAGGCGTACACGGCTGAGAGAGTTGAGAAAGTGTGGGTAAGACCCTGGCCCACAAGCTGAGGTGGACACACAGCACATACAAAGTGTTTGTGAGTCCCAGGGCGTAGGGTACTGATAGAATGGACAGGGGAGGGATGTGTCTGAAGTCACTTGGCTGAGGGAACTCTGAAATCCTTTTCAGGGGAATCTCAAGGTGAAGAACCGTTCCCAAGAACTGTTCCCGGAGCTGACAGCTTTAATGGAACTATTCCCTGTATCTGGAGGCTGACAAGCTTCAGGATACTTCAACTCTGTGTCATGGGTTGACAAAGCTCCAGTAACCCCAAATTTGTTCCCTGTATTCTGGACTGATGCTACCAGATCACCTCAGCCCAAGTCAAGGGCAGATGGGACTGCAAGGTGCTCTGACTCTTGCACGATGGGGGGATGTGTCCTTCAGTACTTGAATGATGAACCCTGGGGCCACCCCTGGGCTGGTGGGCTCAGGCCATCCTGACCCTCATGTCCTGCTAGCTGATGGATCTCAGGTGACCTCACCTGTGTGCTGCATGAATGGATCCACCTCACCCCAACCAGGTCTGCCGAGCCCACAGGTCACACACCGGGCGCTGGCTAGGCCTTTGGCCACCCCAACCCCAGCGTGCAGCCCGCCCCGCCCAGCCCACTCACCTCTGCCGCTGCCCGTCCAGGCTGAGGCCGGCGGGCGCCGTCGTGGGGCTGAGTAGGCCCTGGGGCGCGGGCCTGGCTGGCAGCCCCGGGAGG